ATCCATTTACAATTTTTTTCCTAAAATACCCTCAATTCATTTTTTTTTTTATAACCAAAACCATATAGCAAAACTACCTATCATGGGAGGTGCCTAAGCGGTAGTGGTAGAATGTTTACTTACTTACATTTAACAGAGACACTCCTCACATTCTCACGACTAAACTCCAACTCAATAAGGTGGGGCCCAAGACAATTAAACATTTTTCCTTGGGACCAAAACCAAATGGGAAAACTGCCTCAATTCATTTAAATACCAATTTTTTTTAAAAGACTGAAAAAAAAAACAAGTGAAACGTATTTTGTAAGAAAATAAAATAAAATAAATTGGACGAGAGGGTATGGTGATTTTCGTTTCATTGGCGAGGTTTGAGTGTCGCTGTATCTGTCCATTTGTCTGCAAACATGCACTGAAACACACACACAAGCGGATGAAAAGCCACAAAGACTTTAAAAATTATCAAGATTTGAAAAACTAATTCGCATACCGGAATAATGCCAACAAAGCAATCGCATAAAACGAAGAATATATCAAATAAGACGTAGAGTATCTCCGTCAAACAGGTTGACGAATTCAAAATCTTCTCCGAGCAAGCACATCGACGGAAAGGAAAAAAATTGCAACCGGGAATGAAAAAAACTATTCTTATCGTACCCTGTTCGTTACGGGCCGTGAAAATAATGGTTCCGGTTTCATCACCCACGAGACACTCGGCGATGCGGGTCGGACGAGAAGGCCGAGCAAGAAGCATAGACGACCGACCGACCCGATTGTTCATCGACTTCACGGGCTTAGAGCTGACCACCTTCACCGTTAGCGTGTGGCCACTGGTACCTGGCTTTAATTGGTCCACCTTGATAAACACCGGCTTTCTCTTCGCCGCCGCAGTCCCCGTCGTCGCCGGTGTTTCCATGATCGGAAGTTTAAATTCCCTGATTCAAGCACAACGTTTTTGAGTTTTCTATTTTGCAGGATGCAAAGGAAGACTTGTGTGTGTGAAGGAAATGAAGGAAATGAGAATTAATCGATCATAGCAAGTGTTAAACCCTAACCCTAGTTTCACATTTGGGAATTTCATTTTGGGCCGGATTGCTGATAGTAGGGATTATCGATATCGTTACTCCACGGTTTTAACGGAAGTCATGGGCTTTGCAGGCCGGCCCATTACTTAACAGCTCCAATGAGATATTAACAAACTAGGACTTAGGTTTACACAAAAAAAAAAAAACACAGAGACTTAAAAAATAAATGACGTCAAGAGGGGAAAAGAAGAAGAAGAAGAAGAAGAAGAAGAAGCAGCAGCAGCCTCTATGAACCCTTCCTTGTCATGATTTTAGATAATTGAATCTAATAGAAAGAGTTAGTCTCTCAAAATATAGAAAATTAACGTTCAAATTCATACTAGAAAAGGTGTTCACATTGATTGTTTTACTTTTATGTATTCCTCTTTTTAGGTACAATATAATTTGGTTATTTTGTCAGAAAAAATGAAAAAAAAAATTTGTATCAAAAAGTGAAAAATTAATTTTTTGATTATGAACGGTCTTTATTAATTAATTATTTGTAATTAAAAATATCTGTTTTTTATTACGTTTAAAAATAAAATTGTCACGCTCACTTTTCCATGAATAAGATTTTATTTATTCTAAAAATTATGTCTGGCTAGCGGTAGGTGAGAAGTGAGAGCTCAATAGAGATAATTTTGTTTAGGATAATCTGATAATAATTTACCAACTAACTTACAACCTTACAAACCTGTACACCTTTTCTTTTCAATAGAAGTCAGTTTTGAAGGTATAATGTCCTTTTCTATAAGACTTTTTCAGTTCTAAGAAAAATTAGAATATTATTTTTTAAAGATACCCCTAATAAATAGTGAATTGGAAAATTATCATTTATAGTGTAAACAATCGAACGTCGAACTCCATTATATGCATTTGCCATAATGTTTTATTGGATTTCATATGAATGACATGACTTATAATTAATTGTGCTGTAAAAGAATTTAATAATGTACTCCCTCATGTTTTGATATACTACTTCCGATCCTAATTGTAAGAGCTAGTTGATTAATTTGAGAAGATTAAAAAAATAAGTTAAGTTAGTTATTTGTAATAAATAGGTGTTGTCTTTCTAAAAATATCCTTACTAATCAAGTGTATTGATTAGAACTATCATTATTAGAAGGACTACCATGAAAAAAATGTACAAATATAATAGACAATATGGATTGGAGTATTATATTTAGGACCAAAATAAAAGTTAAACAATCTTATATATTAAGGACTAGAGGTAGAATTTAGTTGGGAGTTGGATTTATCATAAATATAAAATCTTAATTAATTGTTTCTCACACATCCATTATTTTTTTTCAAATTAGTTTACCTACGAATTATAAACTGATACATAATCTACTATTATACTAGGGCATTTTAGAAAGATCAAGTTATATATGTTATAATTAACTAATTTATCTCACTTTTTAATCTATCTAAATTAGTAGTTGTTATATTAAATATATGAGGGAGTGACACATAAGTGGCATATAGTAGGCCACGTCATGTTATATCCTATTCAATAGCATAAATCTATTGTTGTTTGGGAACCAAGTTATATGTAAGAATTTATCTAAGAATTTTTTTTTTTTGTAGGGGGTTATTTTGGAGTCATGTGATGTGATTCACTTAATTTTGTTTTTGTTTTGCCGCCTAAGAATGCCAACACAATTGAACACCCAATGTGGGGCAGTTTGGGGAATTGGGAACAGTTTTTGAAACTTAGATATTAAGATTTATTAATTTTTATTTATTTACCGAATAATATTATTTAAATAAATGAAGGAAGTGATAAAACAAATGGAGGAATATGGATCACAATCTTTAGTGTGTTACAAATCACATGGCAACAGCAATAATGGAGTTTAGGAGTAGCACGTAATAGTAAGTGGAGAGGGGCAAACGTGCTTATCACTAAGTACCAAATACAAAGTTGCCATATTTCTCTAATCCCACTCACATGCTTCCTTCTCTTTCACAAATGAAACTTTCACTCAGTTTTGCATTACCTTATCTTCTCTTTGCTCTAATCCTTTATATATCCAAAGCATCTAATCTTCAACCTTATTTAGCAAGTATGAAATACTATATATTCCATTCAATCTAATTCTAATCACCGTTGATAACTATTCCCACATATTCTAGTTAAAAATAACTAAAAAAAGGTTTTGAGAATACGAGTTATTATATCATTTGGTCTATATAATTTTGATTCAATTATAACTCGGTATTTAAATATAACTTGATATGGCTCAATTTCTATAATTTTGATATAATTAAATCTCAATTTCTATACTTAACTCATTATAACTAAATGTTTGTATTTTTAAATCTTTAAAACTTAACTTCTTAAGTTTCATGAAATATATAATTTTATTTTATGAAATATGATAACTAATATTTTCAATCATTAAATTATAAGGATTGAATTGTAATCGAATCAAAACACAAGGAAGTTAGGGCCAAGTTACAAAAAATTCAAAACTATACAAGGTAAAAAAGATTAATTTTCATTTGTACCAATTAACATTCTTATTTATTCTCTCTTGTCTTCTCAATTAATGCCACTAAAAAGAATAGCTGTTATATTCTTTTTCCTTGTAACTGGCATGACTTGCTTATATATTTGATTTAAGTAGAAACTGTCTTGTACGTGACAAAACTTAAAAAGATGCCCAATTGTTCAAAGTAAAATAACTTCTCATCATATTTTTATTATATTATTCGAATACAGAATTATCACTATGTAGTTCTACATATGAAAAATCAATTTAAATACAACATTGTAATTTTGTATAGAAACAATCAGCCCGGGGATCTCTCCGTAGACCTGGTTCACTCGTAAAAACTGTCACATCAGGATATTGGTCACTACTGTCGTTTATCATTTTCAAAAGTCCATAAATAATTCCATTCATCACATAAATCTTCTGGGCCAGGAGGGCCCGACAACAAAGAAATCACACGCTTCATAGTACTCAGATGCTTACCCTCCCGAGCAGGGTAGGCATAAGCCTATAAGCTTCAGGGACCACCTAGACATCAAAGGATCATATACTGATTGGTCCCAAGTTACCATACCAGCTCACTGTCTCAGTTCATCGGATTCAAATTTCTGTTTGAAAATTTGATTAGCATACCGATACTTTCTATATATTAAATCCTGCATAGTACTGATACTTTTTGTGTATAAATTATAAAACCTTATCAGGTCTTCTGATCAATAATATTTTCAAACAGTAACTTCTTACGGATTTTTTTTTCTTTTTACTGTGATCTTGTGTGTTCTGATCGATGTTGTTGTTGCAGACCAGACCAGCGGGCACAGGCTGTGTAAATATAAAGCATATCAACCAGAACCATTTATACATGGGACCTCTAACTCATACCTGTTTATGGGTTGTGCTGGAAGGCAAACATTTTTGACAAGACATGTCAAAAAACATGGCATGTCCTGCCCCTTCTGGTTTTTTTGTCACCATGTCCAAAAGGTCTTTACGATGACAATTTTTCATTCAAAATATTAACATTGCAATTATGTAGTTCTTTCGGGAATAGTTCATAATACAATGATCAGATGGCAGATTGTTTACTGCTCATTCCAAGTTTATATCTGCTTTCTTGTTTTAAAGATCCAAACTTTTGACCTTATTAGTTTGGTTTTCCCAAACCCACATTTTATCCGAAACAATCATGATCATACTTGTTTACCATAATCTTTGAATTAAACCCATGTTGTGCAACCTCGAATCCAAATGTCTTGTGAAAACATAAGATTCAAGTCAGTTTGCGAACATCACAGATAGGGAGAAAAGCAGAGAATGGAAATTAGGACAAAGATAGTTTGTAGATGCCTTCTTAGATTATTAGCATCTACCAAAGCAGAGCAATTTTTGCTTAGATTCAACTGATTTTAATCATTCTATCAGAGCGGAAACAATTCAGTTCATGATAAACTCAGCTTTAATTTATACAAATATATGCATACATCTGTAATATGGTTCAAAGAATTACACAAAGCAAGGGAACATGGTATCCTATACAATCTCTCGTGTGTATAAAAGAATTAAAAAAATGACCTTTTCTGCTGTGCATTATTGTGTACTCTATCATTGACTTATGGGATCCCCTTTGCATAAAGTATGTCTAAGCAATAATTCATATTTGTACACCTGAAGAAAGTGGCATGCTTCACAAGAAAACTCTGGTTGAACTCAGCCCGATCGATCAACATCTAGGTGCCGATCAAAATTGTAGGAGCTGCAGAAATTAGCCTTCACTTGCTTCTTCACGGGGCAGTTTTTCCATACTAGTAAGCTTGGTGTTAAATTACAAGTGAGATCGAGCTCGTGAGGCTTGGCACATGCATTCAGGGACCGGATACTTGGTGACATCCCTCCCAGGCCTCCGGAGCTCCGGCTGCCCTAAGGACTCATGATGAAGCTCTTTGATGATCCTGTTAAACTCTGCTTCCGGCAGGGAAGAGTTCAGAAAATGGGGCGGCATCTGTCGCTTGTTTGGGGTGATAAATTTCTTGTGCCCAGCATACGCCCGGTGACCCTGCAATCACAATGACATTCACTATTAGATTTTTTGTGAATTAGGTATACATTAAGTTTGTCTTTCTATCAAAATAGCGTAAACCAGTTTAATAGGACTTCCTTGATGCTACATATATCTTTTATTCATCTTTTAATCACTCTATGTGGGACTTAATATATTCTAGTACTCAAAAATAAAGAATCTGAATTTTCAAACTAATACTGCTAAATTGCTTGGGAGAATTTGATAAACATTCAGATCATATCCAACATTACAGAGGAAAACTCATTTTCACAGAATATGATGACATGAATTTCTCGAGTAACGAGGCCTTGCTTGGATTTCAGTAGGGAGTAAATGATAAGTATACCTGAAGCATATGGCCCATGTTTCCTCCATGAGATGGCATGAAGACATCACTCTTCTCAGAAACTATGTAATCTATGGCAGCCATCAGAGATGCTTTTCTGGAAAACGGTTCAAGTTCTCCCGGCAAGGAGAGATCATGCTTACTGTAAAAGTGTGGAAACTCTTGGATTAATGGAAGCAAAGCTTCTTTTCCACCCAATGGTTGCCCTCCAGCCCAGTAGATTCTTGCATTCTTAGGAGCTCCTAGACCTTTAAGTAGCCTAACAACAAAACCAGAACAGAAATCAGAAGATCATTTCGTTTTAATTCAAATTAATTTCACACTTAACACAGACTTCTCATGTTTTTACCTGGTTACTTCCACAGCATTCAAGGGGCATAGGCCAGCCAGCTTCCTTTCTTGGGAAGTCATGTTTGATTTTGCAGTCAAAAGCTCCGGCCGGTTTATCCTCTCTTTCTGCACCATCTCATCAAACTCAGGGCTTAGACCGGGAGAGCAGCCGGTTCTTACCCACACATCCTTCTCCATTCGAAGATGAAGGGCCAGGTAGGGTCCTTTGCTTCTCATCCTCTCGGCAATCTTGTCACCGAGTTCCTGAACCGGCTTCGCAAACCTTAAGGCATGAAAAGCAACCTGCAAAAATATGTAATGTTATTAGAGTCTATCTCCTAGCAATTTTCATGGAAATGAAGTTTCTATCTTCTTCTTCTATCCCTTCACTCACACAATACCTTGCATCGAAGCTTCTGAAGATCAGAAGGAAGATCCTTCGACAGCCTCGAATCCAAGCCACGTAAGAGCAAAACACCTTCTCTGGTAAGCTGCAAAGGACAACAGAATCATATGAATTCTTCTTCTTCGTCAATACAATTAAAACATTTACTAACTAGCTGCTCTTTTTTTTTAACAGACAAGATGATAAAGCGATTTCTCATCATACAAGGAAACTCCAAGTATGTGAATGGAAGTGTCATATCAATAAGGCTATTATACAAATAGTAAAGCACTATGGCAACACTTTAAGAGAAGCTAAAGTAAAGAGTAAAGCTATGAGCATAACTTAGCGTGTGCCTAAAAGAACATAAAAAGAGAAGCAACAAATTCTTACTCTTTTGTGGTACCGAGCACGTATCCAACTGGGAGTAACATGAAGCGGAGGGCTTCCTTCAACTGGTTTGGTCGTTAAGTGAGTAGAAGGCAATGCAGAAACCACTCGAACATCATTTGCAAGAACTCTCTTGAAGTGTTCCAAATCAAATATATCAGCAAATTCACTGCAAATACGGAAGTATTACACCATAAGTTCTTATTAACAATAGCGGAGAAATAACACAAATTCATCAGAGATGGAAACAAGGAAATTTATATATAATAGAAAGTTCAAAACTTTCTCTTCTGGGGAGTTGCAGAAACGATGGTTTTTCTTTTTTTACCTTTCGTCGCCCCATATGAGGTTGACTTGCAAAATGGGGACAACCAAGGTAGCTCCGAGGATCCTAGCAATAACAACAGCATCCACAATTTGATTCCTCTGTTGATTCATACCACCAGAGACCACAACCATGAGGTACTTCCTCCTGTTGTTCACAATCCCTTGGGTCTGTTTCCTATAATCCCTGCTGAAATCCAAGCAAGGCCTGTAACCCAATCCGTCTGGTTGCTTCCAGAACTCGCTCTTCTCAACTTGTCCATCATCAGTTTCCTCTCTCACCTCCACATTGGACGCCAAAGGCAGCGACAACCTCGTATTATCCAGAACCTCATCTTTCTGAACATTTTGACGGGCAGCTTCTGAATGACCGTTGGAGATTATTGGGAGATTCAGCTGAGGCATAGGACATGGGTAGGGAGAAAATGGAACATCGAAGTCGAATCCAAACTTGAGCATCCCAAAGAAACCAACGAAGAACAGGGTGAGAAACCAGAGCCGTGAGCTTCTAAAGGTGAAGAAAGAGAAGAACTTGGATTTTCTGGAAGATTTCTTGGGAGATTCAAGCAGAGATTGAAGGGAAGAAGAAGATATTGAGCTGATAATCTGAGAAGGGACAGAGATGTAGGAGAGCTTGCGAGCCTTCTGATGCCACTTGGCCATTGAAGAAGAAGAAGAGAGAAGGCTGTGATGTTATTGTTTCAGAAGAGAGATGGAGGAAATGGTGAGGGGTTTGATTATATATCAAAAATCAAAGAATGTGTAAATAAGTAAATGTAAAAATGGTGGTTCGGTGTTGGGTGCTATAGAGAGAGAAAGCGACCAGAGAGAGTGGGGCGGCGGGAACGCGAAGTCAGATGAATTGTCTACGCGTAATCAAAAAGGAGGAGCTGTGCTGTGGCTTAGAATTCAGACGACTCGCTTACCTTAATTTAAAGAATAAAGATCATCCCTTGTTTTCTAACTCCCATTTGTTTATTCCTTTTTTTAATTACACCTTCCTTTTTCATCACCAAAAAACTATCATGTTCTAGTATGTCACTCTGAAGCATATAAAATTTATTTAATACGTCCTGATTACAGTACAAAAATCAATATATGCAATTCGTTAAATAAATTGTTATATATTTATATTTCAAACATTTTTCTTATTAAATTAAAGGGCTTCCTTGTCATTTTCTGAGTAAGTTTGTTAATATTTTAAAAATAAAATTAAAATAATAAAAAAATTCAGTTTATTTTTATTTCATGAAAAGCCTCTGTTTTGAGAATAAAAAATGATCTATGTTATTTGGGTAAAATTCCCAAAAAATAAATATTAATTTCAAGTATCATACTTTTTTAAAATTATAGAAAATCATTATTAATTTACTCAATATTTTTTACGTACATAATTAGTATAACTCATTTGAATTATATTGAATCATAAGACTGGATGAATAATGTCAAAAACCATCAGTTATTTTTATTGAATGGCCACTTTATCCATCTTTGTTACTAGTATGATTTTTTATTTAGATTAAACGAATGGAATAAAAATTTGAATTTCAACGATCATATAATTATAAAATCGAAATAATAAATACTACCTTCGATTTTTAATATAAGAACTAAATAAGTAATTTGAGTAGATTAAAAAAATTAATTAAATTAAATCTTTTATAATAAATAGATGTTGTTTTTTCTAAAATGCCCTTATTAATCAAGTGTCATTTTATTAAACATTTAATATGTGCAATGACTATAAGGACTACCATAAAAAAATAGATAAATATGATATATGGATTGGGGTTTGGAGTCTTATATTTAAGACTAAATTGAAAGTCAAATAAATTCCTATATTAAGGACTAGAGATAGTATAATCAGATGAAAATGCATATGGAATTTTTTTGGGTGATCTGTTATCTTAATTATTGTATTAGGATTTAGCAGATCATATTAATTTTTTTAAAAACTAATGAAATGGTTGTTTGTTTTGTCACGCAATATAATTACCCACCATAATCTCTCACCACATTGAAGGTCATAAATATAACTATGAAAATTTAAGGTGAAATTTTCTACCTACTATTGTTAGTTGGTTATATTTATATGTGCTGTTACTGTAAACAAAGATGGCATCTTACCTTTAGTGGGAGCTAAATCAATTTATCGGTAACTAACTTTTGTAAATATGAACTCCCAATAATCAATCCACTTTTTTTGTGAGTATTTTCTTCAACTCATACTCAATCTAATTCATTAATAAACAAGTTACTCTTTTATCAATAAGTTGTTAATTGAGATAGTAAATGGTTTCACTTCGTAAAGAGGAGAACACGAGTATCGGGAAACATACTTGTTTGGAAGGCTTTAACATTGATATTTTTGACCTGATAGAGATTAGTTTTAAATCCAGAGTGATTTGAGAATACTTTGAGTTATAAAAAAAATAAGTCACTCTTTTTTTTATTAAAATTTAGAGGGACAAATACTAAAATTAAGAATATTTTTTATTTAGGGGAATTTTCATGTCATTAAATCACAGAGCCAGTTTTTTTTGGTAACTTCCCATATCATTATTATAAGACTGGATTTCAAATTTAAAACTGAAAATCAAATTAAATGAAGTGGGGCTGATTATTTAAATAGGGATAGAAATTATAGCATGATTGTTATTTAAAAAATAAAGTATAATATGATTATCCTTTCATTGTGAAGTAAGAAATCTGTTGCTTTTAAAGAAAACTAAAAATTTGCGGATCACATTATCTTCATAGTAAAGGCAAAGGCCCGGCATAAAATGATGAGCATATATTTTCTTTTCTTCTTTCTTTTTCGGAAATGATATTTTATTTGCAATTCGTAATAATTGAGGTTTTTTTTTTGGGGGGGGGGGGGGGGACTTTGAAGTTTGAGAACTTTAGGAAAAGGTTTTGGAAGACTACACGGGTTTTGGATTACCAACCAAGTTAGGAGTAGTTTCACAGTTTTTTCTTCTTCTATTTTATACGCTTAAAGTTTTACTTTTAATACTTTTTATAAAAACAATGATAAAATAATGCTTTAATAAGCCATGATGTACGGACGTACGGGCGTATGCGAACAGAACGAAAACAGATAGTGAATGGTAAAAGCTATATCATTTTAATTTGATCCGTACATGGAGTATTTATTATAATTAAAAATTAATGAGATATTAAAATTTGATCTCATCTTAGTTTTTGTACTTAAAATTTGAATAAAATAGTTTTAGTATTTGAAACCTTTAAACATTTGTCTCAGGGACTAAGAACGGTGTTCTCTAGAAGTGAAAAAAAATATTTAGATAAATTAAAGTAAGGTCAAATTTTAACACCAAAATCAATGATTTTAAACTTAAAAAATCAAAATCAAAACAAAATCAAATTTTAGAAACTAATAATAATATTAATCCTATTAGCTATCAATCTCAATTTGACTTGAAATTTGCTCTTGAATGGGGAAAAATTCTTCAAAAACCTAATTTTTTTCTGTTTATAAGAAGCAGGGATGGGCTGAGCGTTTGAAACGCTTATAAAATATTTTCAACAAGTATTTTTATGTAAATTGAGATAAAAAAATTATATTTATTTTGTAAGTTATAAAATTATTTTTAAAATCATAATTTAGTTTTTATCTAAATACAGTCTTATTTTGAGAGTGCCATTTATATTTTATTTTGTAATAAAATTTTATTTATTTATTGAAATGATGAATTATTTACCTGGAGCACGTACGTACACAGCCTTAGTCGAAACTTCCCCTTTTTTAAATGATGGCCAGTGCAGTGAGTTCAAATTCAAAGTGAGACAGACCGGTGGTACACGGAGCCCCAGCCCTATGCTAGGAGGAAGGCTTCACCGTAATCTCGTATTTCGTGTACCATACGATTTGTCGTTTTGTGGTAAAAGCCAGCTAATTTTAAAATCATGCCGGTACTGTATTATTCAACACATTTTGAATTCACAATATTAAAATCTGAGAAGGATGAATCATTTAAATCAAATTGTAATTGTGACTAAATAAAGGATGAATTGTTCCAAATTTTTTATTTTAAAAAAGCACAGGAAAGAGAGCCCACGGTGCCGCCATTTGGATGCGTATACTTTTGTTTTGTGCATCTGATAGTTCTCTCTCCCTCTCTAGGGCTCACATCGCCAGCTGGAGCCTCTTCATTCCTTAGCTGGCGCTCCCCATTTCCCACGTCATTCCCTTCTCTTTTCGCTCGCATCAATTTTTATAAATTACTTTTAATATATTTTATACAGATTAAAAAAATTTTAAATTTTATTCTCTCTCGTTTAAAATTTAATAATTTTTTAATTTTATTCCTATTTAACATACATTATAACTCATATAAATAAAATCAATACAATAATAAACGAAGGGTAAAATTGTATATATATACAAATAATTTCTCTTAATATCTTATAAATAAAACTAAAAAAATATCTTCTCTCTCTGTCCTGTCAATAAGATAAGAGGAGTATCATCCTTCCGGTGTACAACCCCTAGTTTAGTCTCTTTCATCGTGACGATACATAAGATAAATATATAATAAGAATTTTATCTCAAATTATATAAACTTATTTATAATAAATAAACACTTTCAAAGAGTTTGACCTCTCAGTAATTTATAGAAAAGTAAAGGTCTTACTCAAATGAGATATATATTATCTTGAATCACATTATTTCCATTTTAATTACACATTTTTATATATTGCACAGATTTACAGTCATAATCATATGGTTTGCAATAGATTTTAGTGTGTTAACATTTACTCGGTCATTAATAAAATAAAATCGAATGATAAAAATGTTTGGTTTTGTTCAATATTTTACTAATATTTGTCTAATAAAATGTTAAGGGCTCAGCATTGTGATGCCATAAATTTTAGGGCTTTAGGCGAATTAGCATCTGAGGGCTTACTAAAGTTGGTATATACCTTTAAATTTAAAGAGTGCTCATAGATATGCTTAGAAATTACCCACTAACAAAATGTTCATATTAATAACAGAATTTTGAATTCACGATCTTGTAGATTATAAACTAAATGGACAAACTTTTATTGGCATTCTAAGAGTTTATTTGATAAGGAATATATGTTTGTTAATAATAGCAAGTAATATATATCATTTATGTTCCTTCAGTCATGACACCATTGCTTCCAATAAGATAATACTTGTGCCTATCAAAAATTTGGTGGAAAGAAATTACTCATTAGTTAGTTAATTTTGATTCAAATATCAAATCTTGATTCGTTTCATCTTTCACATTTATTATTTTTGTCAAACTAATATATCTAACATTTTAACTTATAAGCTATTACTATCTCTGATCTTCAATATAATACTTTATTTGACTTTTATTTTGATTTTAAATATAAAACCCCAATCTATGTTGCGTCTCATATATATATTTTCAAGATAGTTCTTCTAATAATAGTAGTTTTAGTCAATAAACTTAATTAGTAAAGAAATTTTATGAAAGATAACACCTATTTATTATAAATAACTAACTTAACTTATTTTCTTCATCTATTCAAATTAGTCAATTAACTCTTATATTTAGAGTCAAAGATAATACTCCTCCAATCCTAAATATAGGGGTCTTATATTTAGGACCGAAGGAGTATATAAATAAAGAGTAAGTCAAATGGGTTAAAATTAAGTAATTTATTCTGCTTTTAATCTAGGGAAAATGACAGAAAAAGGATGGTTGAAATTTGAAATGACAAAATGGGTATACAAATAACTGAAATGACCAAATGGGTATGGGGTATCAATCTGGAATTTTGTCAATTCGGTAGAAAGACTAAAATACCCTCAACCTCTCTGAAAATATGAAC